TATGCTAATCCAGCCACACTAAGCTTTTACATATTAAAGGAACTGAGCCCCTCTTTATCTAAAAGACCCTAGTCTTTTTCTATACCTGGCACATTTTTGCAGCCAGCAGATGTTTGTGTTGTTCTGTGCTTTTCTGTTACATTATATTTTACATTCTATTACCTAAATTATCTTGCCTAACAAAAAATAAAAAACCCTCCTATCCCTGGGGTTTTTTTTTGTTAAGGAGATGAATTGCCACCCCCAACACCCCATACAATCCTGCAAGCCCTACCAGGAGTGATCCCTGAGCACAGAACCAGGAGTAAGCTTTGAGCACTGCTGGATGTGATCCAAAAACCAAAATAAAATAAAGCAAAATTTCTAATGCCTTCTCCTTTGGGGAAGGATTAAAATTCTTTCTTGAGGCTGGACCCATAGTATAGCGGGTAGGGTGAATTGCCTTGCATGCAGCCAACCTGGATTCAATCCCAGGCATCCCATATGGTCCCCTGAACACCACCAGGATGGATTTCTGAGTGCAGAGCCAGGAGTAACCCTGGTCATTGCCAGGTGTGACCCAAAAAGCCAAAAATAGATAATTAATTACAAATAAAATAAAATAAAATAAAATTCTTAACTTGACAGTGGAAGAAGCTTTGCTTGGGAAGGGGGGTGGGGGGTAGGGGGGTGTCCCTGAGCCACAGGTCTTCTTGCTTTTGAATCAGTGGTTTTTTTTCTTGCCCATTCATGATAGTGTGTCTCCCAGCCTCACCCAGGCCCAGGCTGTTTGGGCTCCAGCCCCCAGACAGATCAGTGAAGGGTTGAAGGTGGGCCCTGAATGAGAGCCCAGAGAACCACGTCCCTCTTTAGAGGGGGCTCCAGGAGGGAGGGGTCATGCCACAGGGAGGATCAGAATTGACAGGAGATTACAGAGGCAATAGTTCTCCAGCCCCGCCAGGACTGTCCTTCCTCCCCCACTCTCCACCCCCTACTCCCCTACCCCTGCCCAGAGAGACACGATCTCTCTTCTTCAACCATCTGGACCCTCAACCTTCACCAAGTACCATGGAGAAATTCTGGTCACTCTAACTCTATTCCCAGGGAAATAGTAACTAAAAACTTGCTTCCCGCCCCAACAATTTACCAAATCATGAAATGGGCAAAGAGAGCCAAGGACATAGGCAGCCGCTGCCTCCTCAGAGTAAGTCTATGGCGAGACTGGACAATAAATTCTCTTTTCTCTAGAATCACTTGCACCTAGGAAACAAAAAGGCAAACTCCCTGCTGTACCTAAACACTTGCTTTCTAGAAAGCAAACAAAGCAGCCAAATGGCCTTTCTGCCTATTCCCATGCCAGGTCTCCTGGGTCTGAGGACAAAGTGCCCAGGCCCATTATCACGTGGACTTGGAGAAGTAAAAGCAGTAGCAAAAAGCCTCCTTGTGCAGCTCAGATAGAGAAGGGAACACCAAGTAAAGGGAATTTGGAGGATTCGCTTGGGATGAGAGATGCGTGTTGAAAGTAGACTGCAGACTGAACATGATGGCCACTCAATACCTCTATTGCAAACTACAAGACCCTAAAGAAAAGAGAGAGCAAAAGGGAATTCCCTGCCACAGAGGTGGGGAGATGGGGGGATGGGGGCTGGGAGGGCTACTGGGTTCATTGGTGGTGGAGAATGGGAACTGGTGGAGGGATGGGTACTCAGTCATTGTATAACTGAAGCCCAAGCACAAAAAATTGTAAGTCTACAGCTGTACCTCATGGTGTTTCACTAATTAAAAAAAAATGAATGAATGAAAGACATAAAAATTTTTTTAAAAAATTTAAAAACCTCCTTGCACAGTGCCCAGAAGCACCTGCGGTGGCCCCTGCCTAAAGCACATGTGAGCTGGTGTCTTTGGGGACAGAGGCCACTGGACTGTCTTTACAGCACAGAGTATCCACAACACCCATGAATGTGCTTCATCCCAAAGAGCAGACCATGTGCCAAGCACCACAGAGGCTGGCCCATTGAGGCTACTTCCTGGGGCAGCATTTGCAGAGGAAAGGAAGGCGGCCAATGGGCCACATTTCAATGATAGCTGGAAATGATCAGTCTGGATTAAAAACAGCGTACTAAAAGTAGGTAAAGGAACAAGCATGATAACTCTCAGTGCCAGTATTACAAACCATAATATCCAGTTTGGAGCAATAGCACAGCGGGTAGGGTGTTTGCCTTGCATGCAGTCGACCCGGTTTGATTTCTGTGCCCCTCTTGGAGAGCTCGGCAAACTACATAGAGTATCTCACCCGCATGGCAGAGCCTGGCAAGCTACCCGTGACGTATTTGATATGCCAAAAACGGTAACAACAAGTCTCACAATTTGCTGGTACCCTCTCAAGCAAATCAATGAACAATGGGAGGACAGTGAAGTGCAGTGCAGTGCAATGTTTGCGGGTAGAGAAGGTATATAGAGAAGAGAGAGAGAGAGAGAGAGAGAGAGAGAGAGAGAGAGAGAGAAGAAAAGTGCCTCCTATAGAGGCAGGCTGGGGGGTGGGGAGGGCAAGGGGCTGGAAGGGTGGAAAACTGGGGTCATTGGTGGTGGGAAATGTACACTGGTGTAGGAATGGGTACTGGAACATTGTATGACTGAAACCAGAGCATGAACAGCATCATCACTCTGTGTCTTTTGGTGACTCAAAAAAATAAATAAATAAATTTAAAGGACCGCGTTTCCAATCTAACAATGGCTCGTCATACATATGGGACTTCTACTAGCTTCATGCAGAGCTCTCTTAGAGAGAACACACAAGTTCCTTGGGAGCCTCTGGGATGTGCTGAGTTCTCCAGTGTGGAGAGAAACCACAGCAGAGCAGGAGTGGGGAGGGAGAGTAATATTATCAAAGAACGCCCTGGTTTCTTTCTTTCCCTGGCTTTAGTTTGCAGAAGAATCTGGAAAAGGGAAGAAGAAGGAGGGACAAAGAGAAATGAAGAAGAGCATAATCTAGCAATAGTGTATGAAAGTTCCTATGCAGGGAGGAGTGATCTTACAGTGGGTAAGGCACTTGCCTTGTGTTTGGCCAACCCAGATTAGATTCCCAGAACCGCAAATGGTCCTCCAAGCCCCACCAGGAGTGATCCCTAATTGCAGTGCGAGAAGTAAGCCCTGAGCACAGCTGAGTGTGGTCCAAAAACAAAAGAATAAATACTTCATTTTATAAAATGCCCGGATCAGGCAAATAAGCATATCCTCCGAAACAGAAATTAAATTGGTAACTGCCAAAGATGGTGACGGAGAGAATAAAAAGAATGGTGGTAAGTACATAGGGTTCCTTTGGAGAATGATGAAAATACTGCAACACTGAAAAACAATGATGGTTGCATAACTCTGAAAACCACACAACATTCAAAAGCTGTAATTCAAGGTATGTGAATGTATCTCCACAGTTATTATTTTTAAATGTTTTTTGAAATTTTTCTAATCCACTAAAGAAATTGGGGGGGAGGGACAACAGAAATACAAAATATCCTGAAAATAAAAGAATGGCAGAAACCCCATGCTTTCTTACTTATATGAACCTCATATTTTAATAACCCCTAAATGTGAATGTAAATACCAACCCAAGACACAGAGTGGCTAGATGGATGCAAACTCAAGATTCATATCTATTATGCCAACAAGAGTCCCGTGTGCAGTTCAGTGGCAAGGCTCAGAGTGAAAGGCTGCAGTGCGTGTTCCAGTCCAATGATGCAGAGAAGAGGGCGGGAACTGCCATTCTCACATCTGACAAAATAGACTTCCAACTAAAAACAGCAATGAGTCCATGACAGAGACCATATGTCTATCAAGCAGCCATGCAAGTATAGTGGTCCTCATCAGGAATACACCCAACATGAGGGTCACCCCTAGATATGTAAAATAACAGTCCTCAGGAATGTGTCGATAAAATACAGGGATCTCCATATACAAATCATCTTGAACAGGAAACAAAGCAGGGGAAGGGATGCTAAATGAAGTAATAAGATAAACTAAACCATTATTCTTAGAACTTATATCTCAAAAGAAAGAAATACACATTCTTCCACACACCTGAATTAGACACAAAGATAGAGCATGTGTTGGTATACAAAAGAAGTCACAACAATAAGTGAGAACTGAAATCACACTAAGTTCCTTTCTCCAGTTACAATGATATGAGACTAGAAATCAACAACAAAAAAGGGGGGGAAGAGCCAAATTGTGGACATGAAAAATCTTGATTTTGAAGAACTCTCAAGTCAACAAGAGAAATCAAAAGAGAAATAAGAATTTACCTAGAAAATGATTAAAACAAAAGATAAAGCTATCAAATCCAGAGATAGCAAAAGCAGTAATAACAGGCAAGCTCAGGGCCAAAATGACCCAATAAACTGAAAAGCCAGGTATGAGCCAGCAGTGACGGGGCAACTGCAACCTCATGGGAAGGGGGGCGTTCCCAGCTCATCCTTCACGCCCTACTGAGATCACGCGATGCCCCCCATGACCAGATCTCCAGCACGGCCATGGCTCCAGAGCCACAGAAACCAATCTTGTAATTATCTGGCTCTTGGCAGAAATCCCTCCAGACTTAATAAGTAAAATATCAGAAATCCAAAATGGCGCAGCCACATGGCCACGCGACATCATTTGGTTCTCATAAACAGCTATAGAAAACAAATTATTTCACAGTGTCTTTTCAGCAGTTTTGATTGTTGGGTGGAAACTCTAAACAATAATGGTGCATCTCTTGTTGAAATAATGAATGTAATCAAAGTAGATAGAGTTAAGTAGAATTCATCTGCCTCACAGGCATTGGGAGGGGTGAGAGGGGGTTATATTTGGGTTCTTGGTGGTGAAAAATAAGTACTGGTGAAGGGAAAGGTGTTTGATCATTGCATGACAGAGACTTAAACCTGAAAGCTTTGTAACTTTTACCACAGTGATTCAATAAATAAATATTTTTAAAAAAAATGACCCAATAAAATAGACCCAATGAATCAATAAGAAAAATCTCAAATAAACTTACCTGGAATGAGAGGTAACAGAATCACAAAGGTGTTTTTCTCAGAGAGAGTCTCATTCATTGCACTAAGATGTGCTGTCCCCTACTATGTCCCCAAATGTGGGAAACTCAGACAGCAAAATGTGTGGTGGCAAGAGACTGCATTCACTTCCTCCTAAAAGAAAAGAAAATGGATAAGAAAAAATAATCTAAATTTATATCTGAAAGAATACAGAAGCAATAACCAACAGAGCCAGAAATCCGCAAAAGGATATAAAAATCATAGTGAAAATAAATAGAAATTTAAAAAAATAATTCAAGCGGATAGGGCGTTTCTTTGCATGGGTTCGATCCCCAGCATCCCATATGGTCCCCTGAGCACCACCAACAGTAATTCCTGAGTGTAGAGCCAGAAGTAACCCCTGAGCATCGCTGGGTATGACTCAAAAGGCAAAAATAAATAAATAATATAATAAAATAAAATTTTGACTATTGTAAATAGTGCTGTACATATTGCAATATTTTCCATGTCTACATCAATAAATTGTAGGGGCTACCTCATAATATCTAGTGTCTCTCTGAAGCTTATAGCTCATCATCTGCATGAAGCACCATGTTGATTTGGCTTGTCTAGAACTCCAGTGGATCTGATAGGAAACCTGAAGTAGAGACACAAAATCAAGGATGCAGTTCATTTGCAGCCGCACAACAATTCATAGGACACACATTACCCATACTCCAAGAGTACCACACCACATTTGATGGCGTTCAAAGTAGTAGGACACCAATACAAAAATATATATATTTTTGTACAGCTATTTATATTAAAAAAGCACTCAAGGCTCAACCTTTAGCAACATGTTAGTGATCTCTTATAGAAGGGCTTAATGGCCCTGGATGAAATACAACAATCTTCACACTCATTCCTCTAAGGATACTTTTTTGTAGCATTTTCAGCGGTTTTTCATAACAAACAATACAAAATATATTGTTCTGGTTCTGCTTTGGGGCAGGAATTGGAGTTTGGGATAGAAGCATCTGAAATATGTTGGTGGGACGATGTAATGGTGGTGGAATTTGTGTTTGAATATTAAATGTAATCAAATGTTGTGAACTACTTTATAAAATTTTTAAACTTTTTAAATAAAAAACAAAAAGAATTTGCTTCATATATGTGAAGCCCTGGGTTAGATTTCTGGCACCACCTGGTCTCCTGAGCACCAAACTGGGAGCAGCACCTAGCGCAACTGGATATGGCCCCCAAACAAAACAAGACACCTCTTGGAATCAGTCTCACCTTTGGGGAAGACAGCAAATAGGAGAGAGCCAAGGAGTTAAGGTCTTGCTCTTCCTCATTCATGCATTAGTGGACTGCTCTAGGAAACAGGGTTTCAGCCCAGCTTGTCCAGTCACCCTATGGGGCTTAGATATTGGTTTAAAGCGTTTGAAAGAGCCTCTTGCTTTCTCTCTGTGTGAAGTAACACATCAGTTTATACAGGCTACCCATCCTCCCCTGTCATCTCTCTCTCTCTCTCTCTCTCTCTCTCTCTCTCTCTCTCTCTCTCTCTCTCTCTCTCTCTTTCTCTCTCTCTCTCTGCTTTTCTTCAGGCTTTGTCTCCTAAGCTAAGGTGATACATATATATTTCTTTATCAATTAAAGAGGCAGAGGGCAGATAGTCCAGGTGTTAAGGCACAGACCTTGAATGCAACCAACCCAGGTTCATTCACTGATTTCACTATTGTGTGTACCTCTCAGCAGTTCTGGGAGTGTGGCCCATAGGCTGAGAACCCTAGGAGGGTCTCTAAGCATCCAAGCACTTCTTGGAAGGCCCCCCACAACAAAAGAAGATAAAGAGAAACCTAGTTAATTTTTTAGAAACCCAAAGACCCAAATAAATGAGAATATTTGAGCCCCAATGCCTTGAATATAATCTCAGGGCTAGGATGAAGGAGACGTTACTGGGGCCTGCTCGAGGCAATCGACGAATAACAGGATGATCTGTGATCTGTGATTGAGCCCCAACCAGTGGGTTTGACACCATTCATTCCATAGACTTATTTCTTTAGTAAAGCAAAAAATTAAATATCTCTTTTTCAAAACAAAAGTGTTTTTGGATTTGGGGCCAGTAAGTTCTGTGCTCAGAACTTACTTCTGGCTCTGTGCTCAGGGATCACTCTAGCCTAGCAATGCTCAGAGCACATGAGGTGCCAGGATTGAACCAGGGTCACTACATATAACACAAATCCCTTAACTCTCTCTGTAAATCTCTGTACTTTCTCTCCTCTCTCCTTCTCCACCCCCACACACCACCTTTTTTTTTCAAACATAGCCTAACATCCATTTTTAAAATTTTTTTTCTCTTAATGCACCTTACTGAGTCTTTTTAGCGAGCAGTAAAAACAGAAAATTTAAAATCACGATACATGAAAGAATTTGGATTTTTGCTGAATGATCGAAACCCAAAGAGATGGATTCCAAAAGCAAGGACACATGAGAACACCTGCCTGCCTGCGCTGTCCTCATCTGACTTTGTTTGAAACTTGGAGACAGTCAAAATCCCATCATTTTGGAATCCGATCCACAGACGGGCAGGACCAACAGTGGACTCCAAGGCCACGCAGCGGTTTCTCTGTTGACACGGATTCTAAAATTCACTGGCAGCGGTATGGGAGCTGCAGGCCTCGGGAGTTGTGTCTCTGGAGCGAGCTGACCTAAGTGAGAATCCTCATGACTGCATTTCTCTGGACTTGGAGTAACAGCCACATTCCTCAGGCATTCTTCTGCCACAACCCAGCTTCAAAGTCACCAGCTTCTGCAGCTGCAACGAGGAGCCAGCACCAAAAGACCACAGGCTATCAGCTGAACGCAAATGTCTCTCCGGCCTTTGGGGATGGAGGCCCACCTTGCGCCCCAAGAAGTCAACCTTTGCCTCTGCAGCAGATCAAGATGCATCAGGTTGACTAAGACAAGGGTAGGCATGTTCTATCCAGGAATGTACAGAGAAATTCGGTTACTCAAACACACTTGGGGCTATCACACACACCAAAGTCATCCTTCCTATGTTCTGGGAGTTCCTTTGTCCTTCCTGCAAAGGGAGGAAATGACAGCAGGTGAACAGTCACACTCCATGGGTCCCAGCATCAACCATCAGAGAACCACTGACAGAAACACCGGAGGCCTATTCCCGTCCTGCCGAGACACAGGTGTCCAGTCTAATTGTGTCCAGTACAGCCACTTTCACAGCAAATCAGGAATTTATACACTTGGGCTCTGAGCAGGATAATTTACACAACCACACGGTGGAGTAAGTCAAGTGCCCATCCATGTATGAAAGGTTAAACAAAATGTATAACAGATACATACCATAGAACATTATTCAGTTTTAAAGAAGAATGCAATTCTCTGGAAGATGATACAGCAGTTAGACATGCAGCTAAGCCAGATTTTATTTCTGGAACCACTTGTCGCCCCCCCCCCCCCACCTCCCACCAAGCATCACTGGCTGCAGCCATGGAGGTCCCCGAGCACTGCCAAATGCATCCCTGGAGAATCCCCTGACGACTCAGGTGTCCAGTTAAACCTGGCACTGTAGGGCCTGAGAAGCATCATGTTTACAGGTCCTTGCATTGAACCAATGGTTCAGTTGATCAAGAATTTCCAGTGGGGCCCCCAGGTCTCCTGAGTTGGAAGACTTCCACAAAAAGGCAGTGGGTCAGAAGAAAGAAATTAAATTCTCACACACACCTTCAATGTAATATCAGTGAACTTTAAAAGTTTTATACCAGTGAAAACCTAGACCAGGAAAATTCATAAAGATAAGAATAATGGAGTTTATGGGACCGGAGCACTAGTACAGTGGGAAGGGCGTTTGCCTTGCACGCAGCCGACCTGGGTTCCATCCCCGTCATCACGTATGGTTCTCCAAGCACCACCAGGAGTGATTCCTGAGTTCAGAACCAGGAGTAACCCCTGAACATCACCAGGTGTGACCCAAAAAGCCAAAAAAGAAAAAAGAATAAATGGATTTTATCAAACATTCAAAGGAAAGGGGAAGTGAGGGAGTTGTTTAATGAGTATAAAACTTTTGTCTAGGATGATGGAAAAGTGTATAGATTGTGATCATGGTTGGCAATATTATAAATGTACTTAATGTCACTTAATTTTATACTCAATATAGTTAAATAATATAGTAAAAATAGTAAAATTTTATTTTATAGATATAGAACAATTTTTTAATCACTGTGAGATACAGGTTTCAGTCAGCAATGTGCCAACACCCACCCTCCACCAGTGTACATTTCCCACGACTAAACTAATATTCCAAGTTTCCCACCCACCATCTTTCCCATAGCCTGTCTCAATGGCAGGCTCTCTCTCTCTCCCTCTTTCTCCCTCCCTCTCTGTCCCTCTCTGTCTCTCTCTATCTCTGTCTCTCTCTGTCTGTCTGTCTCTCTCTCTTTCTCTCTCTCAGTCCTCCCCCAGAATTTGAGTGAAGCTTCCAACTATAGACCATTCCTCCTGGCCCATGTCTGATATTGAGGTCTTTAATCCACTTTGATCTGACTTTTGTGCCTGGCATTGGTGAAAGATCTGAGTTCATTTTTTTTTGCATGTAGTTGTTCAGTTTTCCCAGCACCACTTGTTGAAAAGGTTTATAGAGCAAATTTTTAAAAACAGGACAGAAATGCCATCCTGTGAGTAGATGTATTACACTTAAAAATAAGCAAGGTCTTCACCACACATCTATACAGTATCTATTATGTGTTCAAATAATTTTGAACAAGTAATTTTGAACAAATTTTGAACAAATAATTTTGAACAAGGTCAGGAATGGTCAGTATCCATAACACTCAAAACAGAAAATCAGTACGGAGGGACCAGGATGGCTGAAGGAATGAAGTACATGCTTGACTTGAGGCCCCAAGTTCAATTCCCGGCACCAGACTCTCATATTCACACCAGAATAGTACTAAATGTGGCCCTGTACCCTCCAGCATCACAGCTCTGAGCATCAAACTCTCAAGCTGGCTCCCTGAAGCTGCAGTAGAGAATATTGCCTGGGTCTCTGACCCCCCTGGAATATCCTTCAAAAAGAAATCAGCATGGGAAAAAAATAGCTAATGACACAGAAGTATTGTAATAGAGTTTGAAATAATTCCTATTATGTTATGTTTACT